CCCCCCCCTGGAAAATTTTCTGCGGACGCTCATGCTTGTCAGCCATTCGGTTTCAAGATTACTATATTGAACCTGGCGGCATAGGGTTCAATCCCGAAATTAAACTACATGCAGAAGATCGTGTTCCAACTCTTTGTTTTTCCGATCCCCTTGGGTCAACACACTGATCTGACCTGATATGACGTCACACAAGGGACGTACGCTGTCGTCAACCACCACGTCATTAGTCTGACCAGGCCCGAGCTGGGTGAAGGCGTAGGGCGCGGAATCTTTCTCAATGCATGCGTCCAAACGAGACTATGAATTGTGGTTGGATGGGGATCACCTTCTCCTGTGACAGTTTAGATTATCTTGTACCATAGATCAGCTTTTCGTTAATTCAAAAGGTTTTTTCCGGGGTAATATAAACACATACAAGTCTTTTTTTTTTTTTTTTTTTTTGCTTGGTTTTAAGGTTTAAATTTAAACAAATAGGGATAATTGTAAGGAGTGGGCAAGGGAATTGTGGCAAGGACAAAAATCTGTTGAAGGAAACACTAGCTCTGTTTGTCAATGAGAGAGAGAGAGAGAGCTTGCCCTCTGTTCATTCCCCATTACCGATGCTTAGGCAAAAGAACCATCAACCACGAGGCAAGTAAGACGATAAATGTGGGAATTGAATCTAGTACAAAAATGTAATATTTGAATGCAGCGTTAAGAATCCAATTCAATCGTTTGTTATATAAGCAACGTAACTGTTTCAGACACAATCTGAAAATAAAAATACTTTTGGTCTACGTCATTGCATATGTTTCGTTCAAAAAAAGCTGTCACCCCTGTTAAAAGGAAGGATGGATCTGAGGCACGGGAATATAGGAAGAAGCTGATATATCTTATAGATACTGCGTCTCAGTTGACACCTGTGAATAAGCGTCAGTATATAGATAGTGCCAGCATCCCTTAATGCAGTAAAAGCTTTTGTGCGGGCGACTCACTGGTTCAGGTGATCTTAACTTGACTAACACGGTGAGAGTAGATAGAAATAATTTCTGTCGAATTTAGAATGTGCACCATATATGGTGTGACGAAAAAGAACGGACTTTGTGAGCAGAAAGGTGTTATTTTAAGCACCATTTCCTAATGTTACTCGGTCTGGGCTAGCTAGACAGGCCAGAGTTTCCGAAAGAGAAAACAAAGAGAACATTTGAATCGAATCTTTTCATATAATCTGTCAGGTTGCTGAAGGCGTCAAGGCAACCAAGATAAATGTAGGAATTAAATCTATTATAAAAAGAGAAAAAGCACTGTGGGTTTCAAATACTTGATGATCAAAGAAAATCGAAAACGTGTATATCAAATACGTCTGCGTACGTCTGCCTACATATGATTTCAAAGATTCATGTTTTCGTGTTTACGTCTCTCTCTCTCTCTCTTTCTCTCTCTCTCTCTCTCTCTCTCTCTCGATGCCCGGCAAACCAAGGAAGATCTCCCAGAAAACTCGAGTGGTTCTTCAACAAAGACGGCAGTTTAGCCAGGTGTTCAGTTCTCCTTACTTTCTGTCAAGTACTATAGGGCAATTTTACTAATAACTAATCACTAATAACTAATCAGGCATTGAAAAGATACATAAAATAATGAATACAAATAATGTGTTTTGCAGAGAACGTCCTTACTAGAAAAAACGGCGAATCCACTCACTGCGTGCACCACGTTGCACAAATCCTGATTTTTGGTGAGATGAGATACTGCTGAACAGATAGAAAAATACAAGTTATTAAAACCGAGTTTTTGCTAATAGTGTTATCATTATTATCCACATTATTACATAAATACATAGTGTCTTGTTTACTGATAAGATGCCTCGTTTGATGAAGGTAATATAGTGTATATCCATTGACTGACAACTGAACAGCGGCGTCGTGAAGTATTCAAATTATGTACAGTTAAAAAGAGTTAATGGTACCGTTATCTTTTTGCGATTTTCACGTTATAATTCTTGAGCAGCCCGTATGAACAAAGGGTTTAGTGCCTTTATGGAAAAACTTTAAGTAACCTTTAAAACAGAAATAAACCAGCAGTATTTTATCAGGGACTGCATTCACTGACTGGTCCGAAAAAAACACTGATTAACCACATAGGAAGAACAATGACAATTTGGACAACCAGTTACCTACTCAAACAGCATCAAGATAACAATGAAGTCTAAAAATATGGCGTGGATTTGTTGGTGGGTGCTTTAAAGCAAGAAGTTGTACAAGTTCTTGCCTAAAGCTTAGGCACTTAATAATTTGTAATCTATTCAGCCATTTTATAATTGAAGGTCCTTGTGTGAAATCTGGGATTTGTAACGACACTATATCCTAAACTTATTGTAGCAGTTAAGCCTGGATTATGTACAGTAACATCTGAAACACTCTCTTTCTCTGCAGTACTCAAAAATATCCTGATTTGAGAAGTCAAGTACAATACATATCTTTTCTCTTCTTAGAGTTAATTGTTAGTTTGTTGCTGTTTAACTGGTTGTTTAGAATTCGACAGTGTTCATGCCACATCAGGGGCATTTTTGAACCATTCAGTTACAGTGCATATCTTAAAAATATTGTCATTTCATTTCCCATTCAATGTTACTTAAAGTGATTCTATCTAGACAGAAACATGAAAATTGCGACAAAATAATGGTACCATTAACCTTAAAACTAACTGTATTCCATTTGAATATTGCACAACACAGTTAGTAGTTGTCGTTCACTAGATGGGAGAGGTGTGCCAAAAATATCCCCAGAGACACATCCGCCACATAATAGTTACCGAAAACTGGAACATGGTGAGTCAACAGTAAATACTTCAAGTAAAGCCTAGGGCTCTGTTCTCACAACTTTTAGATCGATCTATCACTGTGGGGAGTCTCACTAGATTACTGTCAGATAATCCCCCTTAAGTGTCCGTCCCCGCCTACTACAAGCTTTTAGGGGTAATTAACTTTCGTGTCCGCCCGGCTGACAGCTATTTAGCGTGAACCCCCAGGGAGTTAGGTCGATCCAATGTAGGTCGATCTAATCTATGAGAATGGGGTGTAGGTCCCAACTACCTTTTGGACGCACGGTTTTAAGTTCCTTGCATCCGGCTAGGACGTAGCTAGATCACACGTAGCGGCTGTTGATCATGTCGAAAAGTTTCTACGTGCTATTTGCGTCCTCCAAAAGTCGCACGATGGACATTCTCCTCACGCGCGAACTCCCACGTTTTCCCCTTTTTTTTTGGCCGTAGACCACACGTAGCAGCCCGTACGTTCGGTTGGGACCTAGGCTTAAACAAGTGTCTGGGTCTTGAAACTGAAAGTTTTAACATACCTTTGCAAAAATATACCCTGCATATATCTCTTGCATTAGGGTTACTCCGTTCCTTTGTTTAAGGAATTCGATCTCTTTTGCTACGTGTGTTACTACGCATCGGTAATACAGTAGTGGAGCCGAGAGAAAAAGCCATGTGGGCTGTCTACACTATGGTTAGCCACGGCAGTGTGATTAGCGGTGAAAGCGAAGAATTTGCCAGCGAGCAGTGGTACAAAACACACCGGTATTTTGGTCGAAACACGAACGCCAGCATCGTGGCTGAAGGGAGGAAGATCCTACTGTTTTTTAAAGACTGGTACGGCATCGACGTGGTCCTTGGTGACGATACCTTGTCAGCATGGGCGTCCGCAGGGGGGGTCTCAGTGGGATTACTTGACCCCCCCCCCCTGGAATTTTGGCGGGCACGTTAATTGCGGTTACCCAGCCAATCATTATCTCCCCCTTCAATGACATTTGACCCCCCCCCTGGAAATTTTTCTGCGGACGCTCATGCTTGTCAGCCATTAGGTTTCAAGATTACTATATGGAACCTGACGGCATAGGGTTCAATCGCGAAATTAAACTACATGCAGAAGATCGTGTTCCAACTCTTTGTTTTTCCGATCCCCTTGGGTCAACACACTGATCTGACCTGGTATGACGTCACACAAGGGACGTACGCTGTCGTCAACCACCACGTCATTAGTCTGACCAGGCCCGAGTTGGGTGAAGGCGTAGGGCGCGGAATCTTTTCTCAATGCATGCGTCCAAACGAGACTATGAATGGTGGTTGGATGGGGATCACCTTCTCCTGTGACAGTTTAGATTATCTTGTACCATAGATCAGCTTTTCGTTAATTCAAAAGGTTTTTTCCGGGGTAATATAAACACATACAAGCCTTTTTTTGCTTGGTTTTAAGGTTTAAATTTAAACAAATAGGGATAATTGTAAGGAGTAGGCAAGAACAAAAATCTGTTGAAGGAAAACACTAGCTCTGTTTGTCAATGAGAGAGAGAGAGAGCTTGCCCTTTGTTCATTCCCCATTACCGATGCTTAGGCAAAAGAACCATCAACTACGAGACAAGTAAGACGATATATGTAGGAATTGAATCTAGTACAAAAAATGTAATATTTGAATGCAGCGTTAAGAATCCAATTCAATCGTTTGTTATATAAGCAACGTAACTGTTTCAGACACAATCTGAAAATAAAAATAGACTTTTGGTCTACGTCATTGCATATAATGTTTCGTTCAAAAAAAGCTGTCACCCCTGTTAAAAGGAAGGACGGATCTGAGGCACGGGAACATAGGAAGAAGCTGATATATCTAACAGATATTGCGTCTCAGTTGACACCTGTGAATAAGCGTTAGTATATAGATAATGCCAGCATCCATTAATGCAATAAAAGCTTTTGTGTGGGCGACTCACTGGTTCAGGTGATCTTAACTTGACTAACACGGTGAGAGTAGATAGAAACAATTTCTGTCGAATTTAGAATGTGCACCATTGTTACAACCCACTTTGAAAAAAATTACGCAATTTGAAAAAAATTTTCAAATCGCGTCAAAAAAGGGACAAAGTCAACGCGATTTGAAAACATTTTTCAAATTGCGTTAAAATAGTGGACAGACTCAACGCAATTTGAAAAAAATATTTCAAACTGCCTTAAATTGGTGGACTGGGTCAACGCAGTTTGAAAAATTATTTCAAACTGCGTTAGGAACATACATTCATAAATTATTTCATTTTGCTTGAGGTTATGAATTCAGTTGACATGCTTATTATCAATTTATTTTCTTGAATGAATCTGTCGATTGCAAAAGGCAAGAAGAAATTTCGGAAAATGCAAAGGGAAAATGAAACTTGATAGGCCAAAATAGCGCGAATATTTGAATATTTTCATACACATTGCTTAAAACAAGAATTTTGCAAAAAAAATTTTTTGGGACCTAATTCCTTCTTCTTGTAAAAAGGGTCTCTAATTTTGGTTAAGAAGCGGGCCTTAAGAGGGCTTTCAGCAACGAGCCCCTGGTTTGTTATTTATAGGCCTACAACTTCCCAGCAACCACATTTCTACCAAATAGGCCATTGTATATATAGGCCTATAGAAAGTCAGGTGATTAGGCATAGGCAGATACTCATCTTAACATTTTTTTTCAAAATTTTTCAAAGTGTGTTAAAATGTGCTTGTTTGACGCAATTTGAAATATTACATTTTTCTTTCAAATTGCGTTGAGTGTGTCCACGATTTTAACGCAATTTGAAATATTTTTTCAAATCGCGTTGACTTTCTCCCATTTTTGACGCGATTTGAAAAGTTTTTTTTCAAATCGCGTTGACTTTGTCCCATTTTTGACGCGATTTGAAAAAAAAATTTCAAATTGCGTAATTTTTTCACCATATATAGTGTGACGAAAAAGAACAGACTTTGTGAGCAGAAAGGTGTTATTTTAAGCACCATTTCCTAATGTTACGCGGTCTGGGCTAGCTAGACAGGCCAGAGTTTCTGAAAGAGAAAACAAAGAGAACATTTGAATCGAATCTTTTCATATAATCTGTCAGGTTGCTGAAGGCGTCAAGGCAACCAAGATAAATGTAGGAATTAAATCTATTACAAAAAGAGAAAAAGCACTGTGGGTTTCAAATACTTGATGATCAGAGAAAATAGAAAACGTGTACATCAAACCCCAGTTTAGCATCTGCGTACGTCTGCCTACATATGATTTCAAAGATTCATGTTTTCGTGTTTACCTCTCTCTCTCTCTCTCTCTCTCTCTCTCTCTCTCTCTCTCTGCCCCGCAAACCAAGGAAGATCTCCCAGAAAATTCGAGTGGTTCTTCAACAAGGACGGCAGTTTAGCCAGGTGTTCAGTTCTCCTTGTTTCCTGTCAAATAATATAGGCCAATTTTACTTATAACTAATCACTAATAACTAATCAGGCATTGAAAAGATACATAAAATAATGAATACAAATAATGCGTTTTGCAGAGAACGTCCTCACTAAAAAAAAAGGCCAATCCACCCACTGCGTGCACCACGTTGCACAAATCCTGATTTTTGGTGAGATGAGATACTGCTGAACAGATAGAAAAAAACAAGTTATTAAAACCGAGTTTTTGCTAACAGTGTTATCATTATTATCCACATTATTATATAAATACATAGTGTCTTGTTTACTGATAAGATGCCTCGTTTGATGAAGGTAATATAGTGTATATCCATTGACTGGTTTCAGTGTAAGTAAGATGTAAACTTTCATCCCAGATCACTTAGGCCGTCGCTTATTATCAGATTAAAACGACGGTAGATTTCACCCTTTCAGTTTTTTTATTCATTTGTATATATTGGAGGAAGATGGTGGCCTGTCTTTGGAAATTTAGTCAAATACAAATTTGGTAATTTTGTTGCCGTTTGATTATTGGACTGATTGTCAAATATGTCCCCTCTGAGGGGGGGGGGGGACGATTCCTGATAAATAAACACATTACGGGGGAGGGGGGGGTATAGGCTTGGTTTCTGATTCAAAATATAAACACATAATAACTAATTTGTTTAGAAGTTGTCATTCACTGCGTTTCTGCTTACCAGCATTATAGCAATGCACGACCTTTCGCTTGATTAAAGTGGAAGTTATAAAATGGCTGAATAGATTACAAATTATAAAGTGCCTAAGCTTTTGGCAAGAACTTGTACAATTTCTTGCTTTAAAGCACCCACCAACAAATCCACGCCATATTTTTAGACTTCATTGTTATCTTGATGCTGTTTGAGTAGGTAACTGGTTGTTCTTCCTAACTGGTAACTGGTTGTTCTTCCTATGTGGTTGATCAGTGTTTTTTTCGGACCATTCAGTGAATGCATTTCCTGATAAAATACTGCTGGTTTTTTCTGTTTTAAAGGTTACTTAAAGTTTTTCCATAAAGGCACTTAAACCTTTGTTCATACGGGCTGCTCAAGAATTATAACGTGAAAATCGCAAAAAGATAACGGTACTATTAACTCTTTTTGACTGTATATAATTTGAATACTTCACGACGCCGCTGTTCAGTTGCAGTTCACTAGTCAACCAAAGAGGTGTACCAAGAAGATATAGCCAGGTACAATTTGAGCGTCTCAGTAGTCTCCGATGACATTAAACATGGTGAGTACAGCGATAGAGTTTATCAAATACCCACGAGTACTGTGTCCATTATAAGGCATTTCAACCTTATGACAGCGGTGGACACCGGTGATAAATTCGTCCACTGGTGTGTTGTACATGATGTGTTTTGACATTCAGTTTAGCAGGCTGTTGGTATTGTACTGTTTGCATTGCCCTCAGCTGACTAATTCGAGTTCATCGGAAACTAAACCCAGCAAAACATTCAGTTTCATTTTGAGCTCTTCAGTCTTACAATCTTTTTTTTTTTAATTTTTTATTTTTTTACTGAACCGGGTACAGGTCTTGTTCGGCTAATGTTTTTCAAAGACTTTTAAAATTATCCCTTGAAATATTTTAAAGGGTAAATGAAACAATCCGTACCACGACGTTGGAGCCAAAACTGTTGAATATCGATAATTGCGTTGTAAAATTAAAATAACAAAAGATAGTCGATAGATATCTTGAGAGACGAATCGAATTTGTTTACGTTAAACAGCATGGACGTGATACAATCTTTATCGGAACCGACAACATTCGTTGGTCTTCTCTTTGATGATCGTCTCCCTTTCCGAAAGATACCAACCTATATGGAATTAGAGCTTCAATAAACCATTGGTATTTTTCATAATAAAAAAATATATATTTAACTATTTAGCTGCTAATTTGCTGATGATACTAACCCTATATAAAAAAATGTTTTGGGTGTCTTGGAACTAAATTTAAATCTTTACGTAAATTTGCAGAAACATAGCCTACATATATCTCGTGGATACTGTATTAAGGTGACTCCGTTTCTTTTTCTTTTTTTAATTTTATTTATTTACTTTATTTATTCATCTATTTATTTATTTATTTATTTATTTATTTATTTATTTATTGTTAAGGTATCGCATCTCTTTTCCCTCCTGTGTTTCTTGGCATTGCCAATGGTGGTGGCGGGGGAAAAATTGTGCATCGTCTACACTATGGCTAGCCATGGCAGCAACGATGGCATTCCGAGCCAAGGATTTGACAGCGAGAAGTGGTACAAAGTACATCGATTATTTGATCGACACACGAACGCCAGCATCGCAGCTGAAGGGAGGAAGTTCCTACAGTTTTTTAGCGAGTGGTACGGCATCAGTTTGGACGTCGGTAACGATACACTGTCAGGGGCTGATCCAACCACTCTGTATGTCGAGGCATCGGGAGTTCACCTAATTTTTAGACTCTCGGTCCTACCAAAATACGCTAATTATAGACTTTATTCGGAGTCGCGTGGCAATGAAGTTCGTTTTTACCGTTCCAAGATTTGCAGTGTTGGATGGATGATTTTGTTCAGAGATGAGTTTACTGTAACCACGGGCCGAAATCAGGGAATGGTCATTCCAGCAAGAAGCGCCGTCAGGTCTCGAGTCTATTACATAAAACCCGGGGGAAAGGGCTTCGATAACGTAATTAAGCTGCAAGCGGAAGGTCGCGTTCCAATTCTTGTAGTTCCCATGCCCTTGGGCCAAGACGCCGGGTATGAAGAAGGAAGCTACTCTGTCTCCAATCCGCACGTGACCAGTCTCACCAGACCCGAGTTTGGTGTAGGAAGAATGCGCGGGATCTCCCCTCGGTACAAAAATGGAACCGAATATGTGGTCGACGGTCGAATGGTGTTCACCTTCCACTGTGGCAACATGGAGGATCAGCTGCCATAGATGAGCTTTTCATACACTGAAACGTTTTTCCGATGAGGTTACACAAACATATTATTATTTTTGCTTGGTTTTAAGGTTTAAATATGATGTAATGGAATTCATTGTAAGGGTTGGGTAAAGGAAACATGGGAAGAATAAAAATCTGTTGAAAGAACATTTTGACTGCGCTGATATCAAAAAGAACTTCACTCAAATTATAAATTCTATCAGGGAGAAAGAGAGAGTAAATTCAATGGAAATTGAATATGAGATAAGTATATCAATAGATAAAGGCATTAAATCTATTACAGGAAATTCTATATTGAAAACGGAACTAAAAAACCAACTTAATCATTGTTATATAAGAACGTAACTGTTTCAGATTGTAATTTATAATATTTAAAAAGAGGTTTTCGGCCTTTCGAATTGTTTTTCCTGTCTAAATTCAACTGGATATTAGGCATGAAATAATAAAAAAAAAATTAACCACGTCTGTAAAAGGGACTTGTTGCAGAACTGCAACAGATGAGAGATATTCCTTAACTGAAACCGTGTCAGTTGACAGATAATGCCAGCATCCATAAATGCAATAAAAACTTTTGTGCGGGTGCCTCACCGGCTTCAGGTGATTTTGACTTGACTAACGCGGTGAGAGTGGATATAAATAATTTCTGTCGAAATCAAAATTTCCACCGTATATAGAGTGACAAAATAAACGGAGGCTTAATTTTAAGCACCATTTTTTAATTTTACTGGACACCCAGGAGAAATACCCAATGGCTAACAAAACCCTACTAGACGATGATCAGAATATAGATAAAGTTTATCCTCTGCGTCTAACTACTTTTTATTTGATAGATCCATGTTCATGTGCAGCTCACTCTCTCTCTTCCGCTTACCCCGTCCACTCTTTCTCTCCCCCTCTCTCCCTCCCACTCTTGTTCTCTCTCTCTCTCTCTTTAGCAGGCTGTTGGTATTGTACTGTTCGCATTGCCCTCAGCTGACTTATAAGAGTTCATCGGAAACTAAACCCAGCAAAACATTCTGTTTCATTTTGAGCTCTTCAGTCTCACAATCTCTTTTTTTTAATTTTTTATTTTTTTACTGAACCGGGTACAGGTCTTGTTCGGCTAATGTTTTTCAAAGACTTTTAAAATTATCCCTTGAAAAAATTTAAAGGGTAAACGAAACTATCCGTACCACGACGTTGGAGCCAAAACTGTTGAATATTGATAATTGCGTCGTATTAAAATTTCAAAATATAGTCGATAGATATCTTGAGAGACGAATCAAATTTGTTTGCGTTAAACAGCACGTGACACAATCTTTATCGGAACCGACAACATTCGTTGGTCTTCTCTTTGATGATCGTCTACCTTTCCGAAAGATACCAACCTATATGGAATTAGAGCTTCAATAAGCCATTGGTATTTTTCATAATAAAAAATATATATTTAAGTATTTATTTAGCTTCTAATTTGCTGATGATAATAACTCTATATAAAAAAATGTTTTGGGTGTCTTGGAACAAAATTTAAATCTTTACGTAAATTTGCAGAAACATAGCCTACATACATCTCGTGGATACTGTATTAAGGTGACTCCGTTTCTTTTTTCTTTTATTTATTTATTTTTTTTTTTTTCTTAAGGTATCGCATCTCTTTTTCCTCCTGTGTTTGTTCGCATTGCCAATGGTGGTGGAGGGAGAAAACTTGTGCATCGTCTACACTATGATTGGTCAGGGCAGCAACGATGGCATTCCGAGCCAAGGATTTGACAGCGAGAAGTGGTACAAAGTACACCGATTATTTGATCGAAACACGAACGCCAGCATTGCGGCTGAAGGGAGAAATTTCCTACAGTTTTTTAGCGAGTGGTACGGCATCAGTTTGGACGTCGGTAACGATACACTGTCAGGGGTTGTTCCAAACACTCTGTATGTCGAGGCATCGGGAGTTCGCCTAATTTTTAGACTCACGGTCCTACCAGATTACGCTAATTATAGACTTTATTCGGAGTCGCGTGGCCATGAAGTTCGTTTTTACCGTTCCAAGGTTTGCATTGTTGGATGGATGATTTATTTCAGAGATGAGTTTACTGTAACCACGGGCCGAAATCAGGGAATGGTCATTCCAGCAAGAAGCGCCGTCAGGTCTCGAGTCTATTACATAAAACCCGGGGGAAAGGGCTTCGATAACGAAATTAAGCTGCAAGCGGAAGATCGCGTTCCAATTCTTGTAGTTCCCATGCCCTTGGGCCAAGACGCCGGGTATGAAACAGGAAGCTACTCTGTCTCCAATCCGCACGTGACCAGTCTCACCAGACCCGAGTTTGGTGTAGGAAGAATGCGCGGGATCACCACTCGGTACAAAAATGGAACCGAATATGTGGTCGGAGGTCGATTGGTGTTCACCTTCCGCTGTGGCAACATGGAGGATCAGCTGCCATAGATGAACTTTTCATACACTGAAACGTTTTTCCGATGAGGTTACACAAACATATTATTATTTTTGCTTGGTTTTAAGGTTTAAATATGATGTAATGGAATTCATTGTAAGGTTTGGGTAAAGGAAACATGGGAAGAATAAAATTCTGTTGAAAGAACATTTTGACTGCGCTTATATCAAAAAGACCTTCACTAAAATTATAAATTCTATCAGGGAGAAAGAGAGAGTAAATTCAATGGAAATTGAATATGAGATAAGTATATCAATAGATAAAGGCATTAAATCAATTACAGGAAATTCTATATTGAAAACGGAACTAAAAAACCAACTTAATCATTGTTATACATGTATAAGGAACGTAACTGTTTCAGATTATAATTTATAATATTTAAAAAGAGGTTTTCGGCCTTCGGAATTGTTTTTCCTGTCTAAATTCAACTGGATATTAGGCATGAAATAATTAAAAAAATTAACCACGTCTGTAAAAGGGACTTGTTGCAGAACTGCAACAGATGAGAGATATTCCTTAACTGAAACCGTGTCAGTTGACAGATAATGCCAGCATCCATAAATGCAATAAAAGCTTTTGTGCGGGTGCCTCACCGGCTTCAGGTGATTTTGACTTGACTAACACGGTGAGAGTGGATATAAATAATTTCTGTCGAAATCAAAATGTCCACCATATATAGAGTGACAAAATAAACGGAGGCTTAATTTTAAGCACCATTTTTTAATTTTACTGGGCATCATCATCATCATCATTTAGAGCCTATAGTGTTCCACTGTTGGACAAAGGCCTCAGCATGCTTTTTTCCATTGTTTCCTATCCTGAGCCTCAGATTTCCAGTTTGGCCAAGGTTTCTTCTTCCAAGACTTCCAGTAGTCATCTAATTCATCCCTCCATCGTTTGACCGGCCTTCCTCTTTTTCTTTGTCCATACCTTGGGGTCCATTCTGTAAGCCTGATTATCCACCTATTGTCCTTCATTCTCTCTCTCTATCCCTCTCTCTCTCTCTCTCTCTCTCTCTCTCTCTCTCTCTCTCGTCCACTTACCCCGCCCTCCTCTCTTTCTCTCATTTTCTCTCAATGCGAACACTAACCCCAGCAAACCAAGGAAGATCTCCCAGAAAATTCGAGTATTGCTTCGACGTGTTTATTCAGGTGCTCAGTCTTCCTTACTTTCTGTCAGATGAAATAAGGCAAATGTCACAACCGAAGTTACATCTTTTTTTTTCGCCACCAATAACTCATCATGCATTTAGAATATACATAAATTAATGAATTCAAATAATGCGTTTAACAGAGAATGTCTTCACTAATGCAATGTTCAATTTACTCACGATGTCTTCACTAAAGCAATGTGCAATGCACCCAGGGTGTCTTCACTAAAGCAATGGCCAATTCATTCAGGGCGTCTTAATAAAAGCCAATTCAGTGGGTCTATGCACGATGCAAAAAGTCCGACAACACTTTTTTGTGATGAGATACTGCTGAAAAAATACAAAAATATCAGTTATAAAACGGCATGTTTGTTACTATCATCTCACGGTATTAGTAGTTTGGAGTGCCATCTTATCAAAGATGTACTCAGTGGTTGGTTTACAGCTCTGCTGCCTTGTTTGAAAACATTATAGTGTATCCGTTGACTAAATTCAGTGTGACTTTGGTGTATAAATATGTTCATCCCAGGTTAGGACGCCGCTTATTATAACCTTAAAATTGACGGTAGATTTCACCTTCGGTGTCTTATTGATTTTTATATACAGGGGGGGAGATGGTGGCCTGTCTTTGAAAGTAAAATTCAAAATTAATTGTTGTTTTGTTGTCGTTTGACTATTTTTCTATCTGTCAAAAATTCCCCCTCTTAGGAATGGGGTTGGCGGGTTGCAGGAAGGATCTCATATAAAGTTTACACATTGCAGATGTTGTATAGGCTTGGTTACGCGTTTCTTTTTCCAAAAAAAAAAAAAAACTGTAATTATAAAAATAACTGGTTAAAAATTTTGTCACTTTGAACTTCGCAAAAAAGAACAAACCAAATCGCTCAAATGCACAAACTGGTACTTAAAAATGGCTGAATTAATAGATAACAAGTGATAAAGTTTGAATAAGTTTGAAAAAGGCAGACTCTAAAAACAATACGTTTATCGCCACTATGTAAATACTGACTGGTTGCATAACACACCGTGTAGTTGCTAATTAAGGTGACCCTGGACCATTCATTTACGGTAAATACCTCGAAAAATTAATGTATCCTTTTATCTCATAGTTAACAATGAAAGAGATATTTCATGGTGTCAAGATAGGATGATGAAATAGAATTATTATTTACTTAGAGACTAAATTACATATATGTCCATAAATGGACCTTGGTTACGTGAATGATATTTTATTTATTTTACTTTATTTCACTATTACTTTGAGCTTTTTCATGATAGACAGACTTTTGTATATACGGGATGCGGAGAGAAAAAGTGTAAATTGCGGCACGATTTTAACTGAATTACGCACTTTGTGTCACAACGTTTCCAAAACCGTTGAATATTGGGCGCGATTTGCTCCAGTATTTTTAAGATAAACCTTTGCATTGTGATTAGATGTCTTGTTTGGCCCTGTGTTTATCTTGTTTATCTGTTTTTAGGACCCCGTTCTTTTCTTTTTAAGGTATTGTATCTCTTTACCCTCCTGAGTTTCTTCGCACTACCAATGGTGGCGGAGGGAGAAAGAATGTGCGCTGTCTACACCATGATAAGTCATGGCAGTATGATTCGTAGTGGAAGCCAAGAATTTGCCAGCGAGCAGTGGTACAAAATACACCGATATTTTGGTCGAAACACAAACGCCAGCATCGCAGCTGAAGGGAGGAAGTTCCTACAGTTTTTGAAGGAATGGTATGGAATCGATGTGTACGTTGCCGACGATACCTTGTCAGGGGTTGATCCAACTCCTGTGTTTTTCGAGACCATGGCAGTTAACTTTACTTTCAAAATCGTGACTCTTCCGCAGTCTGCCAATTTTAGACTTAATTCGGAGTCACGTGACAATGAAGTTCGTTTTTATGATTCACAGATTTGCTTAATTACATGGTGGATTGTGATCAAAAATGAGTTTACTGTAACAGAGGGTCGAAATCAGGGAATGGTCGTCCCGGCAAGTAGTATGATTGGGTTACATTATTACAATATAAAACCTGGGCACAAGGGGTTCGATAGCGAAATTAAGCTACGTGGAGAAAACCGTGTTCCTGTTCTTTCAATTCCCACCCCCTTGGGCCAAGACACTAATCTGACCGGGTATGACATCACAGAAGGAACGTACGTCGTCTACAATCAGTATGTCACCAGTCTGACGAGGCCAGAGTTCGGTGACGGCGTGGCGCGTGGGATCTCTCCTCGATATGTGCATGGAAACGAATTTGTGAATGATGGTAGAATGGTGGTCACCTTCTACTGTAACCGTACCGAGTTCCGTCTGCCATAGATTGACTTTAATGCAAACGGATTTTTAAATATATCTTTTTTGCTTCATGGTTTTCAGTTTTTATTCTGAACCAGGGGGATTTATTGTAAAGGTTGGGAAAAGGGTAAAAGGAAAAAATAAAATTGCTTTGAAAGAGCACTTGGGCTATTTTTATGTCAAGATAACTTTAATGAAATATTTCTGTTCGTGGGAGAGAATGAAAAAGAGAGAGAGTGAGATCCCTCCGCTCACCATAAAGTCCTCTTCACCTTTCAAGTTCCCTTTGAAACCCGTGCTTCTGATCACCACAGTCTCTCCATGACTGGGTCTCTCCATGAAAATGGCCATGAAAATGGCATTATTTGATAGATCCATGTTCATGTGCAGCTCACTCTCTCTCTTCCGCTTACCCCCGCCTCTCTTTCTCTCCCCCTCTCTCCCTCCCAATCTTGTTCTCTCTCTCTCTCTCTATCCCTCTCTCTCTCGTCCACTTACCCCGCCCTCTCTCTCTCTCTCCCTCCTCTCTTTCTCTCATTTTCTCTCAATGCGAACACTAACCCCAGCGAACCAAGGAAGATCTCCCAGAAAATTCGAGTATTGCTTCGACGTGTTTATTCAGATGCTCAGTCTTCCTTACTTTCTGTCAGATGAAATAAGGCAAATGTCACAACCTAAGTTACATCTTTTTTTTTCGCCACCAATAACTCATCATGCATTTAGAATATACATAAATTAATGAATGCAAATAATGCGTTTAACAGAGAATGTCTTCACTAAAGCAATGTGCAATTTACTCACGATGTCTTCACTAAAGCAATGTGCAATGCACCCAGGGTGTCTTCACTAAAGCAGTGGCCAATTCACTAAGGGTGTCTTCACTAAAGCAATGGCCAATTCATTCAGGGCGTCTTAATAAAAGCCAATTCACGCAGTGGGTCTATGCACGATGCAAAAAGTCCGACAACACTTTTTTGTGATGAGATACTGCTGAAAAAATACAAAAATATCAGTTATAAAACGGCATGTTTGTTACTATCATCTCACGGTATTAGTAGTTTGGAGTGCCATCTTATCAAAGATGTACTCAGTGGTTGGTTTACAGCTCTGCTGCCTTGTTTGAAAACATTATAGTGTATCCGTTGACTAAATTCAGTGTGACTTTGGTGTATAAATATGTTCATCCCAGGTTAGGACGCCGCTTATTATAACCTTAAAATTGACGGTAGATTTCACCTTCGGTGTCTTATTGATTTGTATATACAGGGGGGAGATGGTGGCCTGTCTTTGAAAGTAAAATTCAAAATTAATTGTTGTTTTGATGTCGTTTGACTATTTTTCTGTCTGTCAAAAATTCCCCCTCTTAGGAATGGGGTTGGCGGGTTGCAGGAAGGATCTGTTATAAAGTTTACACATTGCAGATATTGTATAGGCTTGGTTACGCGTTTCTATTACCAAAAAAAAAAAAAAAACTGTATTTATAAAAATAACTGGTTAAAAATTTGTCACTTTGAACTTCGCAAAAAAGAACAAACCAACTGGCTCAAATGCACAAACTGGTACTTAAAATGGCTGAATTAACAGATAACAAGTGATAAAGTTTGAATAAGTTTGAAAAAGGCAGACTCTAAAAACAATACGTTTATCGCCACTATGTAAATACTGACTGGTTGCATAACACACCGTTTAGTTGCTAATTAAGGTGACCCTGGACCATTCATTTACGGTAAATACCTCGAAAAATTAATGTATCCTTTTATCTCATAGTTAACAATGAAAGAGATCTTTCATGGTGTCAAGATAGGATGATGAAATATAATTATTATTTACTTAGAAACTAAATTACATATATGTCCATAAATGGACCTTGGTTACGTGAATGATATTTTATTTATTTTATTTTATTTCACTATTACTTTAAGCTTTTTCATGATAGACAGACTTTTGTATATACAGGTACGGGATGCGGAGAGAAAAAGTGTAAATTGCGGCACGATTTTAACTGAATTACGCACTTTGTGTCACAACGTTTCCAAAACCGTTGAATATTGGGCGCGATTTGCTCCAGTATTTTAAAGATAAACCTTCGCTTTGTGATTAGATGTCTTGTTTGACGCTGTGTTTATCTTGTTTATCTGTTTTTAGAACCCCGTTCTTTTCTTTTTAAGGTATTGCATCTCTTTACCCTCCTGAGTTTCTTCGCACTACCAATGGTGGCGGAGGGAGAAAGAATGTGCGCTGTCTACACCATGATAAGTCATGGCAGTATGATTCGCAGTGGAAGCCATGAATTTGCCAGCGAGCAGTGGTACAAAATACACCGATATTTTGGTCGAAACACAAACGCCAGCATCGCAGCTGAAGGGAGGAAGTTCCTACAGTTTTTGAAGGAATGGTATGGAATCGACGTGGACGTTGCCGACGATACCTTGTCAGGGGTTGATCCAACTCCTGTGTTTTTCGAGACCATGGCAGTTAATTTTACTTTCAAAATCGTGACTCTTCCGCAGTCTGCCAATTTTAGACTTTATTCGGAGTCATGTGACAATGAAGTTCGTTTTTACGATTCACAGATTTGCTTAATTACATGGTGGATTGTGATCAAAAATGAGTTTGCTGTAACAGAGGGTCGAAATCAGGGAATGGTCGTCCCGGCAAGTAGTATGATTGGGTTACATTATTACAATATAAAACCTGGGCGCAAGGGGTTCGATAGCGAAATTAAGCTACGTGGAGAAAACCGTGTTCCTGTTCTTTCAATTCCCACCCCCTTGGGCCAAGACGCTAATCGGGTATGACGTCACAGAAGGAACGTACGTCGTCTACAATCAGTATGTCACCAGTCTGACCAGGCCAGAGTTCGGTGACGGCGTAGGGCGTGGGATCTCTCCTCGATACTTGCACGGAGACGAGAATCTGAATGATGGAAGAATGGTGATCACCTTCTCCTGTAATCGTACCGAGTATCGTCTGCCATAGATAGCTTTCATTCATTGAAATGTTATCTTTCTTGGCTATTCAAATATGTCGTTTTTGCTGGTTTAAGAATTATTTTGCTCCCATGAAATTAATTGTAAGGGTTGGGCAAAGGAAAATATATGAGAAGAATAAAATCTCATTGAAATTGTTCTTGGACTACTTTTTTAACAAGACAATCCCGCTCATTAGGAAGTGTGAGAGAGAGAGAGAGAAAGAGAGCGAGCGAGAGAGAGAGATCCTTCTTACCAAGTTGACTCTGGCAAGAGTAGTATCAAAGTACGCCACAACTTTCAGTACCTTTTGAAAATCAAAAAAGCTTTACTGTTTTATATATATACTAAAGCAAAGACCGGTGTTATGAAACTGAGGGTTCATGTATCAGAAAGTCCGCCTTCCATTTTGTTATAATGGTTAGGGTTAGCCTGACTTTAGTGGGTCTAAATATAGAGCGAGGTTTCCTATACAAATGAATGGAAAGCGGACTCTCTGTCACCGGCAAAAGGGATGGGGGTCTTTGGAACACCCCCCTCCCCAGAACACGCCCTGGCTACGGGTCTATCAACACTACTGTTACTTTGGTAAGCAAATTGTAGAGGGCAAACCGTCAGCATTATTTGTCGTTTTCACCTCTTAACCTTGAACTATGTCCGTTCATATGATCAAATATCATTCTAAAACGATATGATTTATATTTGAAAGTGGCAAATCTAGTCAACCCATCTTATTTCTATGATAAAATCGATGTTCTCTGGACAACGTTACTTAATTAATTACTGTGCTATTTTTTACGTAGGTGCTTTCAAAATGAATAAATCATTTTTATCAACGATCTACATTGAGATGGTTGAGGGAGTGGAATGCTAACATTTTTTTTATTTTATTGAATAACCTGAAAAAAATATTTGGATATAACTTGACTGTAACTGACCTAATGAAAAATACGCTAAAATAATACGAGTCTCCTAACCCCCCTCTTACACAAATCAGCAATACGACAATGGCGCCGCGTGCCGATGGTTGCGTAATACATCACAGGGGGCGTATTGAGGCCGTCTTCTGGAAGATGGTCAAATTGTCAAGTTTATACTTACGGGCATGTAATTTTTTCTGCCTAAAGACGGTCAAAAATGGAGGATGAAACAACAAAGATAGTTTGGAAGACTGTCAGAAAATATCTCCGGATCCGCCCCTGATCATGCAGTGTTTTGAAATGTTTTATGTTTAAAAACATCCTAATATGTTCCGCTTTCAATCCTTGTGTTGTAAACAACCAAAGATACAGGCATGCAGGCATGGTAACAACGACTTTCATAGAAGGGAAGATAATGAAGCTGATTATACTGGTTGAAAAACTATGCTGCCTCTGCCGCGGTAATACCACTAAATGCGTCTCAGTAAAAATGTGAATGTGAATACTTCACTAGGCCGTTGTTTAGTTGCCTTTTACTAGTCAACCGAAGAGGTGTACCAAAAGATAAAATCAGGGACACATTTGTGCGTTTCAATAGTCACCAAAATTAGGGACATGGTGAGTGCAGCAATAATTTTAACTATTATTAAAATAAAGAGTATGTTATCTGTTTTATGATTTAACCATCTAATGGTGTTCTCCAGAGTAGATACCGTGGTTAGTTATTTTACTGATGTGGTGTACATGCTGTTGTATTAACATTAAGACTGGGTTCCCATAAACCTATCGTACTAGCAGGATCGATCTAACTCCGAGGGGATTCTCGCTAAATTGTTTTCAATATAAGCGACTTAACTGTCTGTCACGTCCAACGAAGCTAGAGTGGTAATTATCTTTCGTTCTAAAACTAATGCAATTTAGCAAGAAACCCCTTGGAGATAGATCGTTCTGCTAGTACGATAGGGTATGGGAATGGTCCCTTTGTCCAGCAAGCTGTTGGTATTGCACTGTCTGCACTGTCTGCGTTACGGCTATCCGACTAATAAGGAATTAAATAAAAAATAAAACATCCAGTTTCATTTAGAACGCATCTGTCTCACAAATTGTCTGGTTTTTAACCTCAGCTGGAAGTGCACTGTCCAGACGGGGGATGGGGGATGGGGGGTGGGGCGAGGATGATGTTACCGGAAATTAAATTAAGCCTATTTATTTCAAAGAGGGAATTACGCACT